CCTTTATCCCTGAAAAAGAGCTGCTGCTGAACCCTGAATGTGGCATTCATTACAAAATCGGCATGGCCAGTACCCATAGAGAAGGGTTTTGGCATAAATCTCATCAGTAGAAAAAGAAGATGCTTGGGCCGGGCTGAATAACACAGTTTACTCCATCTCAGGAAAAGGAGAGTTTGGCTTTCTCCACTTGTTCCAGCAGATACAAACCAGTTGCTTTGGCTCCTGATGATAAAAGCAGATTTCCTTCAGTAGGGATTTAGTGCCTTGTGTTGCGCAGAGCTCCAAGCTAAGGGAAAACCACTGGGAGTTGAAGACAAACAACTTTTGGCTGTAAAGAACCCATTGTCAAGTTCTTGTCCTTGTAAGAAAACCAACAGAAAAGTGACTTATGGCCAAAGGCACAGATATTGCTGATGAGAAATTCAAGGTGCGTGCAGACAATGTATGTATGTTGTCTTTATATTAAATGTTATTAATGCCAGTGAAAGATACAGTTTTGACAGCCTTAGAGACAGAAGCCCCCTGGTTATCCAGCATAGCTTTCAGCACGCAGCAGAGCTTTCACTGTTGGTACATGACTAACATGCCTCAATGCACCCCATTGGAGACCTCCAGGTCTAAGGGGTAGAAGAAAGTTTCTCTCTCTCACCCATTCAGCCTCCAGGAAAGGGCATCCATTGTCGTCACTGTTGGTGGCCTTCAACTAGAAAGGTCATAAGGCCCATTCACATGGGCCACCCCATGGCTGTGGCTGTGATCTGGCAACATCCCACGTTCAGAAATTATTTTGTTGGGTTTGTTTTGGGTTTTTTTAGATGATGCGTTCTTTGGGGGCAAGGTCTAGGTAAAATATATATCAACTATCTGTCTGTCATGTGTCTGTAGCATACAGCGTGATTGTCCATGACTAGAACTGATTGATGCTACTGCAGTACAAATAATACTTTAAGACCTACTACCTCATTTGGCAAATAGCATTGTAGTAAACAGAAAAAAAGGCATTAACTGAATCCTTTTGCAGAGAATTTCTCGTGGTGCTGGTCATCCTTTTCCCCACAGACCATTCATTCTTCTATGTTGCTTCCATTGAATGCCGTTACTTTTTGAATAACTGTATTTGGGGACACTATCTAACACACTTTCAAGCAGCGATTAAGGCAACAGATCAAGTCTGGGAACAGACTGTTTTTCTTAAACCTGGCCTCTTAGGCTAGGAAAAGATGTTACCAAATGAAGCGGATCAACTGTACTGTGGTATGCAGTGGTACAGCTAACCCACCTCTT